GTTGCACTCGCATCAGCAGAAATTAGCCCTACAAAATTCCTTTGAGAGGCGGCACAAACATATTGCCATTTCCCACGCGATAAAGTCATTCACGGTTTCGGAATAACTTACTTTTAAGGGGTGTGATAGGGGTATATAAGGTCTTAAGGTAAACTTATTTTACCTTAAATAATACTTTAAAAAACTCAAGTTATAAGAAAACTCTTTTAAAATATCCTAACTAAATTCCTGAATCCCTAGAAAAAAAGGCAATCTTAAGTACTTTAATGTAAATATCCTTTTATAGATTCCCCAACTTGTTGATGAACACAAGTATTTCTGTTATTATTGCGTGTCCTTCCTCTATACGAGTAAAAGTTGGCACGCGCCAGGAGGAAAGAGTGAAGGAGCGCCCACGAGCCAGGGAAAGTGAAAGAGACACCATGGAGCCAAAGGAAGACAAGAACAGAAAGGACGTGGGGCCGGAGACAGCGGCACGCCTTGGCTGTCGGCCAACAAACAAAAAAATGCGCAACAGTTTAAAAAGGAGGCGTCAACCAGCAGGACACGACATGTCGGAGCAGAAAGGACAACAAAATATAGCTCAACCAAGGAGCCAAAGGAGGACCGAGGAGCAGACAAACTGTTGCTGGCTGTTGCTTCCCCTTTGGCTTAGCATATTTAATCGTGCGGAAGCAATCGATTGCCGTTAAATGGGGGGCAATTTGCCCCTAATGACGTCATTACATGCAACAAGCCAAAGAAGAGAAAAACGAAAAGGCTAACGGCCGCACCAGCAGCAGCCCCCGTTCATAAATCAATTCTCCTCTAAACTTGGCCAAAACCGCACGCGACCTTTTCTCAGGCAGACGAGACCGCACACAGAGCAAAATGCCCATAAATTAATATTAAAGGGTATACATTTCTTAATTAAAAACTATAATTGGAGACGTTTTGTTAAAGAATAAATATTTCATTACATTTTAAAATAAAAATTGTATATATTAACATTTTTAAAAGATTTTTCCCTGTGTAATATTACAAAAAAAGACTTGAGTACCCAAAGCGTATTTATCACTTGGCCAGCTTAATGGCTCTCGGGCCAAACAAAAGCGTATTACAAAGCGTTTAGCATGTTGTTTTTTGCACTGCTCTCCTCTTTCTTTTTTTAACATTTCACTTGATCCCTCTTTTGTGGTCTGTACATGCGTGTGTGCTGCTGTTGGCCAAAACAATAAAAGAAAAAGCGTTAAAAAGAAACGCTGGCCAAAAGGTGAAGTTGTGCTGTCCTGGGGCTTAAGTGAGTCCTGATGAACTACGGCAAAGATGAAGTCATGAGCAAGTGAATAAGAAAGGCGAATGAGTTGATGAGACTATATTAAGAGTCTAAAGAAAAGAACCTTGGGCATTATTAGCCTCATTTTTCTTAACAATTTCTGATGAGGAACATAAATTACTAGGAAAAATTAAGTTCTGATTTATAAATGTTACAAATTAGTTAAATATTTTGTTTAGAATTGGTTCTTAAAAATATCTTGACATTGTCTACAAAAATCTAATTAGAGACAAAAAGTTTCGCTTGACTTTAATAATTTATTAAGAATTCCGCCGAAATTTCACAATTAGCCCCCTTTTTCTATGAAGTCACACACACACAAGGTTTTCATTCACCTTTTTGCCACGAAATTGACTTTTGTTTAACATTTTCCTCCTTCATCTCCTCGTTATTACCTTGCCACCCACTTTCTTTATTTACCCTCCTCCCCCACCAATATTTCTTGGCCAAATGTATGCAAATAGAAATGTCGCACATATTTCATAATTTTCATATTCTTCGTTCCGAAAAGCAATTTGCATTTGCCTTGTTTGTTGTTCCTGCTGTTTTTTCGGAGCAAATTGGTTGCCATTTCTGTTTATCATACATGGAAAGTTCAACCGAGGAGGGCTCTGTGTGAAATGGGAATTATGGGCCAAATTAGCTTATTTGACATTTCAGAGTGCAAATATTTGGAAATGCGGGTGTGGGGAGGGGGTGATTGCGCTGGAAAATGGTTGGAAAAGTCGCTACGCATTTCATGCCCGACTGCAGTCAATCGGAATTGATGGAGCCATAAGATTGTGCGGCTTGCCCTGAGTGGGTATTTCATTTATCTGCAGCTGTCAGTTAATTTCCGTTCAAGTAGCCATTAAAACAATCATGACGCCGCTTAGGCACACACACACACTTAGACAGACTGAAATGAGGGACGTCGTCGCCATTTTTATGGGATGCCATTAACAGCTTGTTGTCGCAGCAGCCATTTAATAATGGTAAAATGCTAAAAATGGCACAAATCCAAGGGAAATAACTCAATTACACGGTCCCTCTACCAAGAGCTTTAACTTGGACTTCTCCTCTTCTTAATTAAAGACTCTACTCGGGGTTCTCCTCTCTGATTATTAATATTGAATCCAATTAATCTTCTCCATTTGACTGCGACTCCTCTGCAATATGTGGCGCGTGTGTCAAGTTATCATAAATGATTTCGACTTGCGGAAAGTTTGTCAAAAACTTTTCCAACTTGCATCCATGTTTTGGCCCCTGTCTGTCAAGTCAATTTGCTGGCAAAGACTCCACTCTGAATTGCCGCAAATTTTCAACTTCACTCCACCATGGCAGTCGGAGGCAGGAGCTGGAGCTCGTAATCCCTATCAGCCAGTGTCGTCTGATTAGGTGTTGCCTTCTTGGCCGGGCTAATTACAAAACTGTCTGGCTTTAAGCCGCCTAATTCGGTTTAACTTTATGGAAATCGAATCTAATTTGGGACACTTCTTTGTTTGTTTTTTGGGGAGATTTTAATAGGTTTTTGTTAGATTATTGTTTTGTTAAAGGGCTTTTATTTAGTAATTTAAATAGTTTATTAAAACAAAAAAATCATTAAGACATTAAACAATTAAAAAAATAATTTCGTTAAAAATTTTCTTGCACTTTTAAGTGTGTCTTTGTAAATAAAGGCTTTTGTTTGCTACTTGTAGCATATTATTAGACTTTTTCATTATAAAATTATATTTTAAAATATTTAGTTATAATTTATAATTAGTTTTAATACCAAACGTACGTTTTGGCATTTAGATTTCTTTGTAAGTTTGAATTTAATCTTTGTTTAATAAAACTTGGCTTAAAGAATGGCTTTTGTTATGGTTTATTTTTATGCTCAGGTTATTGGAATTATTAATTATTTAAAAGAGCACTTTTCTTGTGTTTATTTTATTTATATTCTTTTTTATTTATTATTTATTTTCTGACACTTTTTATATTTCTATCACGTTTCCAAATTACTTTTCGGACGTTGCGTTTTGAAATTGGCTCGCGGTTGTGGCGTTTGTGTGCGTCTGGCAGGGATACGCTCGCATCGGCACTAGGATAAGGACTAAAGGCGAGCCGAGGACCGAGGACTCTGCGAAAGGAAGTGGCGCAGGCTCGGAAGGCAAAGCGGAAACGGGGAAACCCACCACTGAGGTGGGTTTCCTTGGGCGCCAAAAACAGCTGCCAAGCCGGTAGTCGTTATTGTTTACATTTTCCTTGCCCAAGGAGAGAGCGGGGAAAAGCGGCAAGAGAGCCAAGAAAAGCTTCAGAGAGAACCGGAAAAGCGCCGACTGCTAACAGAAAGCTTTTCCTCACTTGCAGCAGCTTTCCCTGAGCCAACCGAAATTCAAATTCTTACTGTTAACCGGGAAAAACTGCATAAATTAATTGCCAACATGTGAAGCAAAATTCAATTAAAACTTTCTATTGACAAATTAGCATGCGAAATGGTGGAAAAACGCCTTGGGCTGGGTTGGGGAATCTGGGCAATCAGTAAGGATTAGGGTGTCCTTGAGGCCAAGTGGCGGGGCCCTTGAGGCACACACACACTACCTACCTGTTGGCTGTTATAAATCCAGGTCCCTCAGGCCGCACGGCCGAGCAATTTAGCCTTAGGGTGCCCCGCCACATCCTGGCTTATTCCGGCACCCCAGGCCCGGGGGCATCAATCATTCTGGAAGGCAACCGTTTCATTTGGTGGGCGAGTCAATCTTGTGAGCGCCACCTTAACCAATTACCTAACCGCAGATGAAGCCTGAGGGTGAAAGAAATGCGGGGCGGCGCCCCACCTTTGTTTGCGCCGCAGATAAGACTTGCCACAAACATTCCGGCCCAAAGTTATGCAGAGCGACGCACTCGAGCCTAACCCAACTGGAAACGGATCCGGGTTCGGGTGAGCTGGTGCCGAGTTCATAAAATATTTATTTATGCGGATGCTGCTGCGGCTCGATCTGGGGGCCAAGGTCCCAGGACCCAGGACCAAGCACCCAGGACTGATTGAAATGGCGAACGAGTTCATTTGTATGTCAGGACGTCGTCTGTCTTCTCATTTGTTAAACGTTTTGTGCGGCTGACGACGTCGAATGCACATACATATGTATATGAAGCATATATCCCCCTGTATCGCCTTGGATTTGCGCAATAATCAATCATAATGAATGGTTCCGGGCAGGTGGGGCAGGTGGAAATAGATTGAAAGGGTCCTGCTCCCCACATGTGAAAGGGCAATTGCCGGTCCTTAAAGTTTACCCACGAGTGAGGGAAGTGGAAAGTTTTCCCTTTTCCTTAAAGTTTCTTGGAACTTGAACCCAACTCAGATCCTGACGCATATATGTATATATTTATTGTCTTCCAGCCATTAAAAGCAGGCAGGCGCCAAAAGTTTTCCTCCAAGTCATAAATGCATTGAACTTGACTCCAATCCCTGGCGACCCCAGAGTGTGCGGGTTGAAATTGTTGAGAGGGTTTGTTGGGATATTTAAAAGAAATACATTTGTGGATAGTTTTAGCGGAAAAGATACAAACTTTAGCTATATAGGAGAAATTTATTTATATACCTTAAACGTATATACTTATCTACTTGATCTTGTTGTTTTTATTTTAGCCAAAATGTAGAGTTCATTACCTGGAAGAAAAGAATATAAAGTCCAATTAAATTCTAGAAAATCATATAACATAGTTTTTAGATTTATTTTTATTAAATTAAATAAGGCTGAAGATCTGGATATCCCCCATGATCGATGGTTATTAAGTCTTGCAGCGAGAGCTTATGGACATCTTTGGGTTCAAATTCTATTCAATTTCTATTTCTATTGTGGGCTTTAGATCTGGAATTCCTCCAAAGCTATGATTAGTTCTATATATCCAAGGTTCCTGTGAACTCAGGGCTCGCAGCGTCGGCATACAAACATGCCAAACACTACGCCCAATCCAAAGATAATTATATAAGCCATAATGTTTACTAGAAAAATAATATAATATTTAATATCTAATGCAATATAAATATATAAATAAATGAAAACTTACTCTATGCTTGGCAATGAGAAAACCAACAATTCCCCCCACAATAAATGTTATAAACCGCTGCATATTTTCCTAGGGAAATCCGATCTCAGGGAATTTTAACTACAAATTTTGTATGTAATTTCGAGTTGAAGTCTTAATAAAGATTGATTGAAGGAATTTAGTCTAGGCAGGTTTTGTTAAATAAAATTCAAGGCCTACTTTCTTGCTGAAATATATGTGGCTATTATAACATAAATATAAAAATATATGTAAAAACTTTGTTTACATCTTAAGATCAATATGAATCTTTGAAAGGATATTTTCTTCTAAATCTTCGCCACTTTTTAGAGCTCTGAAACCTCCCCAAAAATATTAAACAATCTTTAAATTTATATATGTTTTATTTATACATTCTCCTTGATAATTTGTTGTTAAATTTGGTTTAATAATATCTGCATTTCAAGTCAGCATTGTCGGCAACTCATCATTCCAATGATAACGCCCAGGGCAAATGAAATGACGTGAGTCATCTTGCTTTTGGAATCTTGAATTTGAATTATTGAATTTCTTCTATGAACTGCAACTCCTAGTTGTTAGGTAAGGAGCTCAAGTCAGCATGGCCGGCAATACAGCCTTCCAACGAAAATGCCCAGGACAAAGACAATAAGGTGGGTCATACTATTTCTAGAATTTTGATTTTGGGAGAATGAAAAGCTGAAAGAATGGCAAGCTTTTGGACCTATTTTGTAATTTGATGTAACCAAAAGAGACATTTTCAGCTAAGCTAACTTAACTCTTTTAAATAAAAACACTGCGTGTTTTATTTTGCTTCTTAGATATATATTTATCTATAATGGCAAATTATATATTGTAAAGCCTTAAGATAAAGTTTATAAGGAAAGCCATTTTCCCAGATATTTTTGGCCAAGAAATCCCACCAAGGAGCGAATACTCCCTAGGTGTCTCTTGCCACTTCTTGTGGGCAACTCATTATTCCAATGATAAAGCCGAGGCCAAATGAAATGACGTGACTCAAATTGCTTTTATCCAACCTTCCAACGAAAACGCCCAGGGCAAAGACAATAAGGGGGCACATACTATTTCTAGAATTTTGATTTTGGAAGAATGAAAATATTTTTAAACAAAAACTGGCAAGCTTTTAGACCTGTTTTGTGACCAAAAGAGACATTTTCAGCCAAGATAACTTGACTCTTTCAAATAATTAAAGTTTAGGTAAGGAAATATTATAGTTTTGTTTTCAAAATTGGATAGATTTATTGATAAAAGTGTAAATATATAAGATAAATAAATAGTTTATGTGAAATTTGTTTATTTATACATTTATCTTTCTAAATTTTGTTTAGGTTGGTCTGGAAATAGGGCTACTCAGCAACGGCAGATCATCAGTCAAATAATCGCTGCGTGGTTCATTTTGCTTCTTAGATATTTCTTGGTCTATAATGACAAGATATATTGTAAATGAAAGGTTATAAAGAAAAACATTCACCTAGACATTTTTGGCCAAGAAATCCCACCAAGCAGCCAATAAGGAATATACGTACAAAGTCTGCATCCATATCTATATTCCCTAGGTGTTTCTTGCCACTAAGAATCCTATAAAGCAGCCAACCAGAAATGTTACTGCAAACTCCGCATCCATTCTTAGGCAATATCCTCTAGGTATTCTTGGCTATCAAATATCCCACCAAACAGCCAACTAGAAATGTAAGCAGCCAATCGCCATCCATTTTTTGATTTAGTATACTTAAATAACATCAGAATTTATTCAAAACAAAGACAAGTAAGCCGACAGCCTACTGAAAACGTTGTGAATTCTCTTACCTAATTAGAGTAGTTCTTGCCTATCAAATAACCCACGATACAGCCCACAATGAAAGTTAAAAGCGAGTTGTTATCCATAATTTGGTGACCAGAACTATCGAAAAAAAAGGGTTACTAATGGTTTTCAAATGACATTGCTTGCCCAGAAATACTGATGGGGGGAGAGGTCAGGCTATAGAATCGTGGGAACACAGGGAAAAATATCAACAAAAGTGATTATTAAGAGGGATATATATCGATACTTTCTTTATTAATTTGTAAATTGTGTAATTTTTCAATATGTTTATTGCCTAAAATATTTGTTTATTATTTAGTTTTATATCAATACTTTATAGTACATTCTAAACTCCTTTAAAAACAAAATGTAAAATATTTAAGTAGCATTCGAGATCAACGTCAGGTACTTTCCCTATTCAGATCGCACAGCTGGGTAAAGTTCTCACTATTCAAAATTTTCCATTCGGCTAACATCATACATATTTCGGAAAAGTTTTCCTAAAACAAAATTACACTATTTGAAATCTGCCGATTGTCCCAATTCCGATCCCCTGACTAAAGCCTTCCAAGATGTGCGACAAGCAGGATTGTCCCCCACCTCCGCGGTGCTGCCCACCGCCTCCTCCGAGCTGTCGCCCACCACCCTCAATGTTTCAAAAACTAAACTGTGTTGCCTGCAATCGGTTTGTTTTCTTTCTAATTGGCGCTGGGATAGGACTCTACTGGGACAAGCTCAAGCAGGATGCGAAGAAGGCGGCGGAAGAGGACGCCAAGCCGCCAAAGCAGAAGGAGCAGGAGCGCAAGGAGCGCGAGAAGGCGAAGGCCGACAAGGAGAAGGCCGACAAGGAGAAGGCGGACAAGGAGAAGAAGGAGAAGGAGAAGGCCGACAAGGAGAGGGCGGAAAAAGAGAAGAAGGAAAAGGCCGCTAAGGAGAAGGCGGAGAAAGAGAACAAGGGCAAGGAGAAGAAATAGTTACAGAGACGTCCAAATTTCCAGTATCCTATCGAATCCCAAGTTTTCAATTGATGCGTTCAACGATCTTCTCTACACTTTCCAGTGTTTTCCATATTTAATTACCAGTTCGAACAGGTGACATGGTAAGGAAATTGAAATGCATTGATGGAACGCCTAGGAAAGCGTTCAACAGCAGAGTTAAATAAATTGAATCCACTTTGGCGTCCAAGAGTTGGGAACTAAAATTCAAGAAACATGTGTTTTACCCTTAACCTGAACTGAAATATATATATATAAGGCAACCTTAAAACTGGAAAGCATTATAAAAACATTTTCAATTAATTCGGTGACAACCTTCTGAAAAATAAAGTATCCGGAACTAAAATTCAAGAAACATGTTTTTTACCCTGAACTGAAATATATGTAAACGGCTCCAAGGCAAACTTTGAACTGGGAAAACATCCTTGTGAAAAATAAAATATCCGGAATAAGATGCATAACGCCTACCTTTCTTGTGTCCTTTCGCTTGTAAAAATAAGGCCAGCTCTAGCGTTACCCATCTTATTGGTATTACAACATCCCCCACCCCAAAGCTAAATCACATTTCAAATACTTTCTTAGCAGGAACTCCAGTTGTAATTTAATAAAGTGCATTTCATAAGAATAAATAACAGATCAATCGAAGAAACTTTGAAGAGGGGCGTTTTTACAAAATGCTCAATTGATAAATTTATCGCAGGCTCCATCGATGGACAAACTTATCGATCGGCATTTTAAGTGCGATACAGCCCGCTACACGAATGCTCAAGAGTGAAGGCCATCTCCAGGCGGCTTGGTAACTTTCCGGTTTCAGACTGGCAACGGCATCCGTATCGGGTATCGGGTTTTGTTACCGGTTATCACTTCTTCTTCTTGTCATCCTTCTTGTCGCTCGACTTGTCCTTGGAGTCCTTGTTTCGCACGAAGAAGACGCCGAGTCCCACTCCAACCAGAAAGAACACGACCCGATTGCATGGCGTGCAGTTGAGCCGGGCCAGGAGCGAGGGCATCGGGCGGCAGACGCGCCGGACCTCGGTGCGCTTACAACTGGGCATGCTTCCAAATGCTGTGCTGCTGCTGCCTCACGTTTTCTCAATTATTTCGAAAATTTTGAAGTGAATTTCGTTTACCAGATTTCTATTACGATGAAAACAAATTACGATAAAAATTTTGTACAAGCCGAGAGGTATACATGCGGCCGAAAGCCTCAATAAATACTGAGTACAATCACATAGCCCGTGTTGACAGGTCGTCAACTAGACCCAAGCACAGATTACTAGATCCGGAATGGAATACCCCCTTCTCACCTATTTCTTCTTTTCGTCCTTCTTGGGGGCTTCCGCGGGGAAGGTCTTGGCAAACCACAAGCCTGCCACGACGCCAGCAAAAACAGCCGATAGACGTTCGCACATCAAATGCATGGTGATAGTTTTTACTTGTCCAAAGGAACCTAGAGTTTGCCTAGAAGGAACTAGCAACTTTTTTTGGTTTATGTAGAATTTAGAATTTTTTAGATTACTCGGTGTGTGTACTGGTGCTACTAAAATGAATAACTGAGGAATGAAAGCTGCCCCCGTACGAGACTACACAAATCTCAGAGCCTGCTTGAAGCGAACCAGAACCCACCCAGTGGCCTTAATTAACTGAGAGATTACAAAGGCCAATTTAATTAGCCGGGATTACGCGAGTCCCAAGGCTGTGAAAATGCGAAATTAAAGTGCCATTGTGCCACCTCCGTTGGCAACTCTTATTGGAAACGCTGTGCTCGCATTTGTGTGTGTATACACAACAAAGGCTCCACATGCTACAAAGGATGCGATTTGGCGAAATATGAATCTGAATCAGTTGGGGGGAAATAACCGCAGGAGCCAAAGGTACGCTTTAAGCTCTGAGAATTTACCAACCAAAAAGCGAGTTCCGTTTAACCCAAATGTTGAAAGATTCAAAGTCAGGAGCTTCTCGATTCTCCCATCTTTATTTGTGGGGGCAAAATGTGTGGAAGTCCCCACTTGATATCTTTAACAAAAAAACCAAAGTGCCGCCACGTAAGACGCACAATAATTCACTTCTTAAAGCATATTTCAGAGGTCCTTCCATTGTTCATTTACTTGTCAGCATTTGATCTCATGTTTCCCATTGCTTGATCTACGTTGGAGTTTTGACCGAATTTCGATGTTCTTTTCCCCTTTTCAGGTTGTTCATTCGAATTTTTATCGTCTTTATTGCTGCTGCCCTCAGCTGCTGTATTGGAATTTTGGTCGTTTTTAGATGAGTTCGCTAGAAAAGAAAGTAGCTATAAGATACTGGACATACGTAATGGGGTCTTGTTTCCAGCTTAGCCTATTTCTTGCTGTCCTTGCCTTTGTCCTTGTCACCACCTAAATCTGGCAGCTCAAGAGGTGGAAAGTTCATAGAGTACCACATGCCCACAAAAGTGCCCGCCATTAGGGCGGCGAATCGATCGCATAGCATACGCATTTTGATATAAATAACAAAAAAATTAGGCTAGGCTGGTAGAAAATATAGTCACAATTTTGTTGACTTAAAATTTAAAATCTGAAACTGTAAATTTCAACTGCAATAAGCTGGAATTATAATAACTAAAAAGGCATGACCTGCCTGTTTTATTTACTATGTAGTTTACTTGGTGGGAAATTCTGAAACTGAAACACCAACGACAACAGACTTTGGTCTCTTGACTTATTCAGACTTTAAACCACACAAGAAAAGCAATCCCCAAGTTGGGTTTCCTTGGCTGCAAGGATGTCACTCAGCAGCAGACAAAACCGAACAGGTGAGGTTTGCACCAAAAAGCCCATCATTGTGCCCAAATTAACTGGCAGGAGAACGAAACACCCTTCAACAATGTAAGAAACACCGAGAGAAAAAAGAGATTTTTAATAGAATTTATAAAGAAAACTTCTTCATGAATAGATCTTTTCTCCCAGTGCACTTATAAATAAATGCTTCAAAAGTTCTTAAGTGTAAATAAAGTTTTAGCTTTCACATTTCTTGTATTCTCAAGTTGAATTCTCCATTCAGAGATCTCCTTAGAACCCACTCACCTGGGGATCTGCAGCGCGATCTCGTCCAGACTGTCCGACGGACTCATCGGCGTCCGTTCGAAGAGGCGCGAGGGGGCCAAGGTCAGGTGGCCGGTGGAGTCGCTAACGCATTTGAAGACCTTGGCCCCCCGCCGCTGACGCTGCTGCTGGCGCTGCTGCTCCACGCGCTTCTTGCGCTTGTTCTCCTCGGCGCGCTGCAGGTTATGCAATCGAAAGAAGAACATTGACATTCTGCGGGGGCAAGTGGTGGTGGTGGGTGGATGTTATGACGAGTTGATTGCAGAATTAATTTCAATATTTCGGTGGCAATGTTTGCTTTTCCAATGGGTTTTCCGTTGAATTTCCATGTTTTTTCGTGCACAAAATTGGTTTGGTTATTTTCGTTGAGGGAATTTTAATAGTTGTCGTTGTCGTATTTTATTTTTTCACAAATTGTTTTTTATTAATTTGGTTAAGCATTTCATGTTTGGCGTTGTTGGTTGATTTTTCAGTTTTTATTGTCAGCAAAATTATGAGTTGACATGAAGCGTATAAATGGTAAAAGCACAGCGAATTTTTTTACTTAAATGTATGTGAATTGCATTTTCAGCATTGTGTGGGGTATTGTGTGTCAGTGTGTGTTAGGGAGCTTTCTATACCTTTAAACAGTAAACAAACACACAAGGATGCAATAAAAAATTAAGAGGAAACGGAAGCATGCATAAATGATTAATCGCAGCTGACCCTTGGCTTTCCATTATGGTTTTTATATAAAAGAAATAAATAAAATGTTATTTTAAGAGCTCAAATATATAAAATAAAGCAAGATACAAGCTCGATAATTAATAATAAAGTTATTCCAGATTACAAAAAGCCAACTAATGGCAAAACTAAATCAAGCAAAGTGACATACGCTCGAGGGCGCAAACCAACTTCCGTAGTATCAATCAAATTTTGAAGTGAAATGGAATTTCCCAAAATAAAGGGAGATGGAAAACTTTACAGCAAACTGGCAACTGTCCACAAATGGAGAGCTCAGAGCTCGGAATTGCTCCTCCTTTCATTCCGGAAATTAAAATATGAACCGCATTCTGGGGGGCGAGAAAGAGGGAGATGTCCATTTCCAAAAAAAAAAAAATTCCCACACAATGTCTCTGGCAGCGGCAGGCGGAAGTGGCGGAAGTTCTGCGGGTAAGCCAGATTTCCCAGGAATCTTATAGCTGCAGCTCTCTCTCATTACTTTAATATCCTTAATGCACGCAAGGCCAAAGGCAAGCTCACAAATTTGGCCAACAAATTGATTGATTGATCAGCTGCAATCAGAATCAACTGATTCTCTTGTCATCAGCTCCAGATTTCCGTTCAATTAGCAGGCGAATTCCCTTCCTAATGAGCTGGGGTAGCTCCTCTCGCTCTCTTTGGGGCTTGTGTCAAAAATAAATTAATCGAAATTTGCATAAATTTTACAAGAAGCAGCAGACATTGTCGCGTCGTCTGCCCCAATACTCCTCCAAACACTCTAAATGATTGCGTGCCCGAAACTTAATTATAAAAGCCAACAGAAAATGCCAGGCGGAGCCATGAAAATTGCGTTGAACTGGAATAAAAACGAACACTTGGCATCGTCATTAGCTGTGTCCTGGCAGACAGTTTGATTTGGATAATTACATGGGTATTTAAAAATTTATAAACAGAACATTTTAAAGAAAATATATGAGTTGAGTAGCTTTATTATGCTAATTACCTAAGTATTTAGGAGTTCAGTCTGCTCGCAGGGAGTATTAAAGAATCATTTCAATCTTGAGAATTTTTTTGTTTGGCTAAATGATTTAGTAATATGTTTAACAACCATATTTCACACGAATTTATTGCTCAGTTTTTGATATAAATAATTCTGGAGATTAGCAGTAACCATTTCTATTTAATCTCTTGACAACCTAGTCATTAAATTGCCTTTTAATCGAACCAAAAATCATTTAAAAGTCAAGAAAACCACACACAATTTACTCTAACCATTAATCATTTAAAGCTCTTATCCCAAAATTAATTCAACCAGCATGCATTAAATTTAAGCCACTTGTTTGAAAATTTATAAATTCCCTTTTAGCATTCATTTAAAATCTACAAATATTTAAATGCTGTCCCAGCTGCCCGGGTAATCCCCTACATTTATTATGGCCCACAAGCAGAATTACAGAGCGTGTCGGAAAAAAATGTAAAGTAAAGTTTCTCCTCACAAATGGCAGTTCATCATCAGGCGGTTTTTGTATGAGAATGCCCCTCTATTAATGCTAATGATGCCCATTTGGGAAGTCCACATGGAACTAAAACATTTAAATAAAATGTAACAATTAATAATAAACTGAAATTCAAGCCTTAAAATATTGTTTTTTTCATAAATTGATTTGATCTGGTAGGCCAAGGCCTAACCAATTGCGATTAGAAAGGCTTGGGGGAGTTATTAGAGTTATTTGCGGAATATTTCAGAAGTTGTTGCAATGAGAAAAGCTTTGGAAGTGTTATTTCTTTTAGTTTTAATAGGACAAACGCAGCGAGGTAACCCTCTAGGTATGTTTAGAGATCTCAAGGATTTGCAAACAAATCTTTAATATTCGATACATTTTAGACTTGTGTACCATACCAGTGAGTATAATACTTAATAGGGCCATGTGCGCTCCCCTCCAGATTCTTTGGGTTCTAAGACAGGGTAAATGCGTGAAGGCAGCTATGTGCATTAAGGGATACACCCAGCAGCAGTGTCAAGAACATTGCATACGAAGAAGGAAAAAACCCACAACTACACAAATGACTACAAAGGTAGAATGCACAACTAAAATAAAATTAACAACAGCAGCAGGAATCACAAATAGCCCAAATTCTACAAGGACCATGGAAATAGAAACTAAAAGAACTAGAAGAACTAGAAGACCAAGAACAACTCAGCATGTTGATTGCTTATTTTTAGATTAGAAAAAAAGCAGATCCAGCTTAAAATTCTAAAACAATCAATAAAGCAAAATAAAGTTCCTCTACAACAAAAATCAAAATTTATATTTCCTCCCAATTAGTAATATTTATGGAAGCACTTTGGTAAGAGAGACATAAGCTCTACCAAATTAGCAAATCATTTTAATAACATAAAATCCTTATCAAGCCGAGGGCACGCAACCTTCAGGGATTTTTCTTCCCCCCCCAAAAAATGTATTTTCACGCCCATTGAAAAGCATCGTAAAAAAGCAAAGAGCAGGCGGAACAATATGGAATATTTTTGGCCTGGCAAACAATGCCACCCGGAACCGAAAAAGCGAAGGCAAAGGCAATAATCATTAGGCCAACAAAGGACTCGTCCTGCTCGGAATGGGGCAGCCTCTTCTATCGGGTTGAGTGCGTTGTCAAACGCTGACCAGGCTAAAAAAAAAAAAAAAGAAGAGAAACAAAAAGAAAAAATGCCAAAATAAACACTTGTCGCCGTTGGAATTTCGAGTGGGGAAGGTGGCTTAGGTGGTTTTGGGCCAACCACAAAAGAGGATATTTTCCAGCTCAGCACGCGCTCAGGCGCTGGTGCGTGCTGCTCCTGTTGGAGTCCTGTGTCCTGGGTCCCGGAGACCATTAGCCATGTGAGTGCGGGAGGAATATGAAGAACTTTCGGGGAGGGACACGCAGACTGATGGCAGACAGGATACAATCTTTTCACGGTCCTTGGCCGGGCCTGGTATCCTGGTGGTGGCCTGACTTACCCAACGCTTTGATATACGTAATAAAAATGTAGACAATTTTTACGACACTGTCCGAACAGAACACAAGTGGACATTCCGCTTTTATTTCTTCATTAAAAAGCAGTATTGATTGCCCGCCCAGGGGGGGTTGCAGGCGGGGCATCGGGTGAGTTCACCCCCGAGGACCTTTATACATCCATACTTTTATTATAGTTTGCCACACAAAAGCGGGCTTTGTCAGTGGCGTTATTGGGCTTTCTCGGTGCGTCGTGTCTGTATTTGATTTATCCATATTGAATATCATATGTGTCGGTGGCTTTTCATCTTTCTTTCATCACTCGTGGATTTTAAAAGCCAGGCTGCTGCTTTATGGTTTATTTCAATATGCCATGACTTTGATGTTGGGTAATTGATTACGCCTGTCTGGATAATTCCTGCTAATGTGAGAACCATTTTTCAACGCAAACTAATGACTCCCTGATGGCCCATTTATCGCACCCCTTTCGATGAATCGCCCAACTATAAATACGGGCCTAATTGGCCTGACCTATAAGCCTATAAAGTGGGCCTCGATGTCCTGCTCTTGGTCAGTTGGCAAAATGGTTGGAACCTGGTCGCTGTTCTGTAGTTTCCTCAGCAGATTCATGGCTCTAAACGGACTAAACACCTACTATTTCAACGCGAAGAAGAACGGTTTTAAGGACTCCTGGAAGCTGAAGTTATACTGCCTGGTACACCACCTACTCTGCCTTGTGGCTCTTGGCAGGATGCTGTACAATTCCGCCGGAGATATGAGGATAAGTGTGAGCATCCTTACCATGGGCGGCACTGCCGGCTTTTGCATACACTCATGCTGGCAGAGGAGGCAGGGGATCCGGAAGCTGGCCCAGGAGCTCATCCGCATGGAGGCCAAGTCCTTCTGGGGACTGCCAAGCGGCTCTATGCTGAGGCATAGATTCTACCTGAAACTGGTGTTTGTCTCAATCACCCTGCTGAGGATCCACCTGTTTTATCCCTTCTACCTGAAGCGTCTGGTGCCTCATCTGTTCCTCTTGAACCTGGGCTCCTATTGGCTGGTGTACAACATGCTCCTGGCCGCCGTCTTTGGCTTCTACTGTGTGATGTGGCAGATCTGTCGCAGCCAGGAGATGATCAATAATAGGATGCTGCTGCTCCTGACCAGAACTAGGCAGAGGAACAGGCTTTCAGAGATGACACGCTGCCTGAAACTCTACTCAAAGGTGCTCCATCTGTCAGACCAAGTTAACCTCGAGTATGGACACGTTTCGGTCTGCGTTTTGGCCTGCAAGAGCTGGTTCCAGATCACCTTTGGCTACGAGATATTCCAGATGGTGGCCGCCCCTCAGTCCATTGACATGAGCCTGGGCATTCGAATTTTTGTGTTTCTGAGCTATATCCTGGATGCCATTAACCTGTTTTATGCCACGGATGTGGCCGAAATGTTCATCAAGTTGAGGGAGGACTCATGGCGCATTTTGCGCGAGACAAACAGGATGGATCGCTTGGTGAGTTCAGACTTTTCCCAGACTTTTCTTTTACTTATTTTAGCTCCTCTTTTAGCTGTCAATGTTCACCCTAAAACTGTCCCTGCATCCCCAGCGGGTTGTCTTTCTTAACGTGTTCACCTTTGACCGAAAACTGACGCTGACGCTCTTTGCCAAGTCAATGCTGTACACAATCTGCTGGCTGCAAGGCGACTACAACAAGCTCAAGTCCTAGACACTTCGATGGCAAATCCTCTGATTGAAAGAGTTTTATTATATTATAGAAGGCAGCAGGGGCAGAGGCAGAAGTTTGTCTCGCCGGCGAGCACAAAGCAGAAACCAGAACACATGCACAACTTGAACCAATACAATTATTTACATATATGCATTCAGTAAATATATAATGGAAAAATCAACTACAATGCATTCGAATCCAAAGCCACAAGCCAAGGAGCTCAGCACAATGAAGTCTGAGATGATGATGATGATGGTTATGGGGATAGGGCAAGGATTGGTAAAGCTTACACAATTGTTAGGAAAAAAGTGACATAAGCTCGAAGGTAGAGGTCAGTCGTAACATTTTAATGTTAAATCCATCCCTCTAAAGGGTATTTTTCTGCCCTGAGAATACCTGTGCTCTACCTTTCCAGGACCTATAATTCTTTCGCATGCAGGTGTGTGTATATGCTGTCGAAGGATGAACATTTTAATTTGATTTGCGGATGAAACCAGCGTCTCTCCGTGTCTGTGTTAAGGTGTGAAAATAGTCGAGCAAATAAAAATGAAAGGGAAAAAAGTTAATGGAAACCGAATGGTGAACGAAATCAAAGGATAAACAAAACTTACTTGTGGAAACCAATTAGCTAACTTGCAGTTACGGAGGCTAGTAAAGCGGCTATAGGTGCCGTTGTTGCCGCCGCTTTCACTATTGTTATTATTGTTGTCGTTGCCGCTGCCGCTGCGGCTGCCACTGGGCGCGTTGTGGCACGGGTCACTGCTCATGTTGCAGGACCAAGGATTCGTTTCTTGTCGTGCTAGGAACACATACACAGACACATGGACACACATACACGAATAAATGCAGTTGGCAGAGAACACTTATGGACAGATCTACAAAGCGCACAGCAAAGGAAAGCTCCCAGGAAAGAGACTGTTGATGTGTGGTTTTGTTTGGTTTTCGTTTCAATTCGTTTTGCTTTACCTGAAAATCGTTCTAGGGCTTCTCTCCCGACAATAATATATATTATAGTAGCTTAGTTTATAGGTTGAATATGTTCATATAGCACAGTCTACAGTTTACACGTTCAGTTACACTTTACAGTTACACACGAGAATTGACAGCAAATTTCGAGTTCGCATTTGCCTCGCCTGTCTCTTAGTTGACTAGTTTAAAGCTTTTACCAAGTTTATTCCATTCTGGTCATATGTACACTTAGGCGCTAAGCTAATTGTATAAATTCTTAGTTAAGATCCGTTTGGTCGTCGTGATTATTATTACTGTTTGTAAGCACGAGAGTCTCACATTGATTTTTGCAACTCAGAGCTATCTCCGCGTTTTGGTCCGCTCGTTTAGGATTAGGTATGTATTTATCGTTATTGGTACGCTTAGTTAGTTATTAGGTGTAGTTGGTCGGTTAGATGCTGGCTTCTCGGCTATGTAAATATTTAAAGCTGCTTTCCTTGGACTCCTGTTGATATTTATTGTTTTCTCCGTTCCGGCCGGGTTCCTGCGGAAAAGAGAAATTGATGCTCGGGGAAAAACTATTGCCGGTCCGCAGCGACTCAAGTGTGCCAGGCGACTGCCCCTCCCGGGAGGGACTCAGACATTTGCTTGCCAAACGAAATTATGGCCATGATATTTTGCAAATAATAAAAGGAGCAGAGAAGGGACATCGGCCGACATCGGGGACACCCGTGGAGCGGAGAACAAGCGCCGAGCATCCTAAGTTCAGATGCGTGCCAGGCAGCCATTTGGCCATCTTTTGTGCCACTTAGCCTCGGCCACCCGGCCATTTGCCATTTTCCATTGGCCACTTGTCTCCGCTCTTGCAGCAGCCACAATAATTTAATTCCAGCATTGGCCAGTGCATGATTAAATTTAACCATTTCAACCGAAAATATTTAATTCCGCTCAGCTGGAAGCTAGATTCAGGATTTACCACTTGTCTCGACACAGATTTTATGATTCCTAACCCCAGAATAAGCAATGTATTTTCTTAAATACATTTTATTCTTGTATAGCAAAGACTTTAATATATAAACTTCCATTCAAGGCCTGTTTGGTATAAGCAATACCTCCTGTAATTAATTCATTTTAGCCAAGCTATGGCGACTAATCTCCTGCAAACGACCTGGAATACACCTGCTCTGCCTAAATATAGAAATATAGAAGCAGTCCACCCCAAACGAAAATCAATAAGTGTTACACTGAAAATCGCTCATACGCCACCGGCACATGTGTGCTGGCAGCGACGTAACGGGTAACAGGGTAACGAAATTTTCTTCGATTATTAGTTTTTGTTGCAGTTGCAGGTGACAAAAAACGCGACATAAAGTCACTTTGCCCACATGCAACATGAGACCTGGGCTTTAGCCTCCCTTTGTCCTCTCGCTCTCTCGAAATTGAATTTATGGCCAACACACACACATGTACACGCTCAGCGTCACAACAGCTGCTGCCAGGACAGTTTACACATTACGTATACGTACTGTATACGGGAAAGTTTTTCGGCTTTGACCCAAACTATCCGGCAACCCGAAAATTACCCCACCGAAAAGCCAACCCAACCCAGGCCAAGGAACTCAGCCCTTCAGCCCTGAGCGTATATAAGTTTATCTCGGGGCGCTGGCGCTCGCATCAGCTATCTGGCTGAGTACGATTTTTTATGGGAAAAGTTCAAAGCAATTTTTAAAGATCAAAATGCCAAGCGGAAGACATGGGACGAAGGATGCCGAGACCGAGACCAAGACCGATGGACCAGTGAGATGCCGCTGGGGACTGGACCAATGTCGATGGCGAGAAGCCACAGAGAAATCATTTCATTTCAATTTATTTTCCCATTTCCCATTGTTTTCACTTGGTATCTTCAAATCGGAATTTGTTTTGCCGTGTTGGCATTTTCACACCACACACACGCACGCAGTTAGAGAAAATTCGAAAATTACACAGCATTATTTTCCCAAATTACTCATATTTGTCTCTATGATTGTGCGTGATTGTGTTGTTGTGAGTAATTACTGGAACTTGCTAGGCCACTCCTTGATTAAGGACAATTTCTTTGGTAACTTTGGATTTCGAATAAATAAAAAGAAAATGCCAATGAAGTATTTCTAATTGGATTAACAAAGGGGAGAGAAAATGTGTGGCATCAAAGTGATTTGAATAAATACAAAAATAACAACTGTTCATTGAGGATTTCTGTAGAAAAACTTTGACATTTTTAAAGTCTCTTGAAATGCCTGTATATATTAGCAAGCTGCAAAAATCTGCACAGATTACACCAAGTTTTTAGCCACAAACAAATCTCTGGCTTAATGCAGCTTTTGGCCACTATTTTTTGCTGAGCAAAAAAGTTGAACTCATTAATCAAAAGCCAGCCAGCTCTTGACACAAAAAAGACAGCGGACGAACCCCACAACGAACTCAACCATGCTTTGTCACTTGATGAAAATTATACAACAGATTAGAGGTAGAGGAAACTGTATAAAATAATATTTTAAATATTTAAATTGTCATAAAACTAACCATAAAACCAGAAAGGCAATTACTTTAAATGCTTGAGCTTACATAACCCTAAGAAATTATGCAAAGGTAAGAAGGCAAAACCGATGAAAAGATAAGTAGGGGAGCAGGGGGCAATTATGAAAAATCTTGGCAAAGTGGAAACTATGCTGAGGGTGTTTGTCAGCGGAAATTTATGCTTGCGGGGAATGACCACTTCTTGGCCGAAAAGAAATGGCAGCAAAAGCGGCAGAGGCAGTGGCAGTGGCTGCGTGAAAGGCAAAATGGCGCCACTTACTTTAATTGCTGCCACGTTGCCGGGGTCCTGCGACCGTGTCAGAGGGTCCTGATGGCCAAATACACAAAGGACCGAGGAGCGTCTCGTGTAATTAAAGCACCACGGCACACCGCATCCAACAACAGTTGCAACAATGCGTCCTGGCCGGTGTTAACTTGGCCAAGTTGCCAGCGCTGCATTGTTCGTTTGCTGGCTGCCCCAAGACCTCGTTTACAAAATTTTCGGCACTCAATTGAGCACATTAACTGACAGACGCTGGGCCCCATTGATTGCTGGCTGCCATTCAGGCTCTTCTCCCTTTCGTCCTTTGACTTGGCCTTATAATTGGCTTCGGTGCTAGCTCAGTGCTGACCGTTTCGCAACAGGACCACTTGGCTCCAGTTGCGTTTAGTTTAGTTACTTTTATACGAGTTTCGCACACTGTCCACAGGGAGTATGGTAAATGGAAAGCTTATGAATGTTTAAACAACTTTCAATTGCGAGAAAAGTTTTCAATTTTCGCTGTAACTTTTTCCAGTCCCCTGTCCTGGCAAATGCATTAGCAAACTTTAATTAATATGTGCCAGCGAATATCGATTCTATCTATTCTAGTGTGTTGCCAGCTTGTCTGAAAGTTTTCACTTAAATGGATCCCTCGAGCAACAAGTTTTTTGGGGGACATACGCAACTTAGGAACGTAGTGATTGAAAAGATAATGAGCTTTTGAAATAGGCTGGTTATTAAATTTCCAAAATATAAAAAGGACATAAAGAACTGTAAAGAAGTCTTATTTCGAGAGCTTATTCAGACTGTTGACAAACTCAAGCATAGCAACATCTCTGGGTTATACAATTACAGTCGAGTGTCGCTGCCAAATACTTTGACGGCACTTTGCTGTTACATCTTGCACACTTTGCATACCTTTGTCAAATCCAATCGAAACCCATTTACCCCGACATTGCGGGTAACTCTGGCTGTGTGCTGAAACTCGAGACTCCTCGGGAATAGCTAACGTAACGTAGCGCAAAAGGGCAGAATGCCGAGCTGCATGTCCTGGGCTGCAGCCCGGCGATTAGCAAACAAGATGGTGTGGAGCAGAGTGAGACTTATCCGGGGGGGTAGTCGCATAAAAATGCAATGCGTTGCCTGGCAACTGTAAAAATGTGTCACCAAGGGGATAGACCAAGGGTCCTTTCCCAGCCCGAGGATATACTACAGTGCAGTGTAGTACAGTACA